GAACCAACCTCTATATATATATATATATATATATATATATATATATATATATATATATAGTTGACTTACTTCTAAATAAACAAATATGCTTTCGTTTTCCCAAGATATTTAGTGAAAATGTCACGTGATGGACAAAATTTCCCATCACTGCAACTTGAACGTGTTGTATATATTCCTCACTGTTAATTGGTACAAATCACAAGACAAAAACCTCAATGTGTTGCACACCATATCAATAAGGGACACTAGAGTCACAAGAGGGATGGACTTTTTAATCTTTTCAATAAAAATCTCGTGTCTCAAAATTCAGTGTTTATCTGTTTTTTTGAAGTATATAATATTTATATACAGCAAATACAATAAATAAACTCACACACCCTCCTCAACTTTGGTGAGGCTTGAATCTCTGACCTCCTTGATTCTTGAATTCCTTCTTTTTCTCTCTTTGGAAATCAGATAGCAAGTGATTTTTAATATATAGGCATATGATTTATAAACTAAGTTTCTGTCGAGTTCCTTGGAGAGAGGAAGATTGAAGCTACGAGGCTATTTGTCGAGTTCCTTAGAGAGAGTTGTCTCATGCCCCTAAGTATTCTCTACCTACCCACCTGTGTTGGTTTCCAGGTACAAGTACCCTCATGTTGAAGGTCGTCCGAGTTTTTCTAGGGGTTTGAATCTTTCATCACTTTAATCTAATGCTCACCCATGAATTGCACTTTAGAAGGGAATTGATTTGGTGTATCTCGATGCACCTCGTTAATGTTGACATTCAATTAGGATTGATTCAAGGATCGAGATCTCTTCTTACACTTATCACCATAATTTCTCTTTTCACCAAAACTCAACCTTATAAGGATATTAGTAGAGATAAAGTTTTCAACCCAAATAGTTGAAAATAGGTCGATTTTGGTTGTATTTTTTTTCTTCTATAGATTAAATAGGAAACAGCTAACCGTTAAAATGAACACGTAAAAAATGACAGAAAATGCATTCAAATAAATATAACCCTAAAAATTACTTTTTAATTAAGTTGTGTTATTATCTTAAGGATTTAGGGGTTGTTTATTTTTGACTTAATGGCTGATTGAGCTCATTCGCTCAGCTACAATGAAGTGTTTCTTTATGGCTTAACGAATAAGCCTATCACTTATTCGCATAGCTTTAAAGGGGGTGTTGTCCCCATTAAACCGTACCGTTTTACACCTCTTGTCCTTATCTAATAACACGCCTTTCTTCCCTCAAAAACAAAAACATGGTACTATCTCCCTCGTTTTCTTTCCTCATCAATTTCTCCTTCCCTCATCTCTAGACAGACACTTTACCCATACAGAACTTAATAGAAAATTTGGTAAACAACCATTTAGTTAAAAATATAAAAAATCGAATTTTATTTATTTTTTAATTTGCTTATCAAAATTTAAAAATTATAAAAAAATAATACTTAGAACTTTGTAATAAGTTGCATATTCACTCTATGTGGACAAAGTGGTTACCATTTATGGTTGTTACTAAATTCAAATAATGTCAACTAACTTGCATAAATGCATATCATCCATCCCAACTTTGATGACCAAATTAGAATATATATATATATATATATATATAAATTGACTGTCTCGTTTATCCATGGAGGTTTAAATGCGATGATTTCAGACTACCCATAAAACATGTGGTTGTTCTGAGATTAGTCGACTCGCATAACGAGTTGGATATCTAGATTGATAAAAAAAACTGATTGTCATATTTTTATAACTAATATCTTGTTAATAAGATAGTGTATTTATGTATAGTAACTATTTATAGAATAAAGAAAAAAATAATGCTCAAATCATATACAGTACATTTTTATATTTACCTGATCAGTTCAATCAGAATTATTCAAAATTAGTTAATTTAATCGGTTTTTTCACTTGTTATCTAATTCGTTTATTTTATAAAAACATCTCTAACGGATTTTTTCATATTTCAAAAAAAAAAAAATCAAAATCGTAATAAATAATTACATACGACTCCAACAAAAAATTTAATTTAAATATTCTAGTATTATTTATATTTTTAAAATATTCATTGTATGAAATAACTTTTTATCTAAAATTAAAATAGATTTTTTAAGAAAGTAATAACCAATTAATATGTTGGTGATTTGAATCATTAATATCATTTAAGTGTAATGGGATTAATTTGTCGACCAATGTAATCATGATAAATATCAAACAAGTGAGGAAGGTGCGAAGTGCACACTTGTTTGAGTTTATTTTGATCTAGGGGCGAAGCCCCTAAATGACGGGGGTCCGGGTGCAACTTCCCGCGTGGTGGGGTCCAAG